AGGAGCAACTAATTGCCTTATCAACTACAAAGCAAAAGTTATAGATGACTAACCTGCCAACTAGCTTTCTGCAATTGACTGCCCTAGCAACGGCCCTAGCAACGGCCATAGCAATTGCCTTTGAGCAGTTGATATTCTGACAGAAAAATATGCATGGGTAGTCAACTTTCCATGAGGAACAGTCGATTGTCCTAACTAGATAAGTGAGAGATCAACTTCTTAAAAGAAGGCATTCAAAATTTTGCATTCTATTTGAGAAAGACGTCAGTTGCCATTGAAGGGAAATCTACTAACTTATCCTAGAATGACAACAATTGAAACTCAGAAAGTAAGCATTATAATGCTTAATGTCGGGTATACAAATTTTGACATTCTAGATGGAGAAACTCAGAAAGTAAGCATTCTAATGCTTAATGTCAGGTATACAAATTTGACATTTTAGATGGAGAAAAAAGCCTAAGGCAATTGACTGCCCTTGTAAAGTAGTCAATTGCTCAACCTGTAAAATAAAAAAAAAAGTCTGTTGGACATGGTTTTTCATACCAAAAGTTGTATTACTTCATTCAAATAATGCTCTTTCGCAGAAGGTTGTTTAAAGCACCTTTTAGGGCATACACATACTTCTTAAGCACTCATTTTTCAAGCATAGCTTTATATCTTTTCCATCTTTTAAAGATAAAAAATAGATTTTATCTCTTACACTTTTTTTTAGTTCATGCTTCAAGTGCGTTCAAGAAAAACATTAAGTGCAATCATTTTCTTCTTCGTTTAGGCATTATGTCCTAAGGACAATGTTTCTAGTAACCATTTACACGTTGTGAGGAAACTATTGTCCTTAGAAAAGTTTCCTGGAAGTGCCAGACCCACGTTTCTTCTTCTTTCTTCTTCAACAAAGTTTACATTAGTTGACAATCCTATACAACAATTTAAGGACAATAGTATTCTCCAAGGAAACTTTCGCATTCAAGCCTTATGTTCATGAAGTGGAGAAAATTCTATGGAAAATACTAAGAATACTCTTGGTGATAAAAAAAAAAAAAGCTACTTCTTAAAAAGTAATCTTAGAGATGGTCGAAGATTTAATTTGGTCATAGTTTGTTTCTTGAAACATGATGATTTTCAAAATAGTGCTTTTGCAAATTTTGGATTCCAACATGAGTAAGTATGATTCAAAAAAGAAAAGAAGCAAAGTGGTTAGTGTTATAATTAAGAAATCTCTTCGGTACATCAAGATATGTAACTCTTTTATTGCACCACTCTTTATAATAGAATGTTTAATTGTATGTTAGTTTTTTAATATTTGTTTCAAAATCATGGATTGAAGTATTTTGAAATAATGTATATAAACATTTTCTGAAGTTTCATTGGTTGAGAATTCATTTTAATATGACTTAATATTTGATCAAAGAGTCATATTCAAGAAAAATGATGAAAAAAGAAGTTGAAAAATAACCTATAAAGAAAATTTTGAGAAATCACAAGTTAATCGGTGTGTGAATGAACACCAAAGACAATGACATTGATTATCCACTTTATTTTTTAAAAAAATCTTTTTTGTAAACTTTTTGAAATACAAGTATGAGTTAAACTATCAAACCAAATAATGTTTTGATAAATTTAAAGGAATGTAGGAACTACTTGAGATCTATTCTTTTTGTGATGAAGATTTTTCTATAGGAGTTATTTTCCAAGCCACAAGCTTGAAATTCATCAAATGGAGGCATAGAGATGTTGTGTTAATATTGATGTGAATGATGATTTAAACTTCACCAAGTGGAGAGGAATGTACTCTAGACAAATGACAAGGTAAGACTAATTAAAAGTTAGAATTCAAGTCTTCTTATAATGAACGCTACAAGGAAATAGGTCTTTAATGGCGTTTTTTTTTTTCATGTTTAGTGGTATTTATAAATGCCGCTATATGATTTGTGGCATTTATCAAAAACACCATTAAAAGTATCAGCCATACTTGCATTGGAAAAAATAGCAGCATCTTAGAAAAAATGCCACTAAATTTAACAGCATTTGTATCCAGAAACACAATTAAATTTAACAGTATTTTTGTTTGTAAATGCCGTTAAATCATTGTTTAACAGTGTTTGTATGCAAAAATACTGTCAAATTTAATGGTAATTTTTTACACAAATGCCGTTAATCTCTATAATTTAACGATATTTTTGCTTACAAATGCTGCTATATTTAACTAATTTGATGGCATTTTTTTGACACAAACGCTGCTAGATTAGGAAATTTGTTTTTTCTTATTTCTTTCAATATTTACTACTATCATTAAATAAAGAATAGATAAATATTTTTAAATTCATAAAAATGAATTTAAATTTATAAACTAAATATTATAAATATTTAGATATCCAAATACATAATTTGTTCTAGTATGTATGTAACATAAAGTATAAAACAATAACATTCAAATTGTTTTAGTACATTAACCAAAAATTTAAAATGTATGAAATTGATGACCGCTTAGATTTGGAGAACTACCATTTGATGAAGAATTTTTTTTCACCATGATCATTAGCTTGCTCAAGAACCTACTGAATAAAGTAAAATAATTTGTTACACTTAATAATAAGTTATTTTTAATATTAAAAAATATAAATAGTTACTAAATATAATACTAGAGTTGGTGGACCACCTAGATTGGTTCTTGAAAATTGTTGTTGCACAAAATTCATAAATTTATTAAATCGATCATGCAACTGCTTATGCTCCTTATTCATTCTAGCACTTTTTTTTAACTTTTTCTAATTTCATTTGCTGCACACATTGTTGCATAGTTTGCAACATTTCTCTCAATATTGAGATTTCTTACGAAGATTGACTTGTTAAAAATGTAAAATTGCTAAGAGCTATTTCTGTAGTAGCTAGATGGTGTTGGATACAATCTAAGGCCTTAGATCCATCTATGTTTTTCTTTTCCAGCAATTTCTATAAAAATTTGATCTTCAAATTCTTGCATGTTAACAGAATAATCGCATGCTACTTCAGTCTCAATCTCCATTTTCTCTTTCGCTTTTTCTTGTAAATTAATCAAATAAATATATCAAGTTTAATAATTAATTCATAATATATTTGAAATAGTAAATATTCATTTTTTGTAAAAAATGAATCCAAGAAATTATCATAATTTTTTGTGTTTTGATATTCAAGTAAGATCCTTCTTTTTTTGTATGGGTTAATAAAAAAAGTTTTACACATCCAATTTTTTTACCCAACTCAATTTCTTACATAAAAAATGTTATTATTGTTAAATATGTATCAACCGTAACTTATTTATGCTTATCAAACATGACAATAATAAAGTTTAAACATTTGGATAAATTTAATATCATGTAATATGAGCTATCTAAACTATTAGAACAAAACAATAACTGCAAATTTACATTTTTACCTTTTAACGTTGCAAAAAGTCTTAAACAGACATAAATCGTAACTTATTCATACATATCAAATCATGAAAACTAAGTTCAATTATTCGAACAAGTTTAATATCATGTATTTAAGCTATCTAAATTGTTAAAACATAAATATAACTGTAAAATTATATTTTTACCTTTTAATGATGCAACAAAGTCCTAAAAAGACATAAATTATAACTTTTTCACATATATCAATCCTAGAAACTAAGTTCAATCATTCAAATAAGTTTAATATCATGTATTGAAAATATCTAAATTATTAAAACATAAATAAAAGCCCAAAATTACATTTTTGCCTTTTAACGGCACAAAAAAAGCTAAACGGAGATAAACAATAATTTTTTTACACGTACAATCGTGAAAACCAAATTTAATCATTTGGGCAAATTTAATATTATGTATTGAAGCTATCTAAACTGTTAAAATATAATAATAAATGCAAATTTATATTTTTGTCTTTTAATAGCATAAAAAGTCTTAAACAAATATAAACGGTAACTTTTTTAATTTTGCCTTTTAACGTCATAAAAAGTTATGAACATATATAAATTGTAACTTTTTCACAAATATCAATTGTGAAAAGCAAGTTCAATCATTTGGACAAGTTTAATATCATGTATTGAAGCTTTCTAAAATGTTAAAACAGAATAATAAACTCAAATTTATATTTGAGCCTTTTAACGTTACAAAAAGTGTTAAATAAATATAAACGACAACTTTTTCAAATATATCAATCGTGAAAACCAAATTCAATTATTCGAATAAGTTTAATATCATATATTTAAGTTATCTAAATTGTTAAAACATATATATAAGTACAAAATTATATTTTTGCCCTTTAACGACACAACAAAATTTTAAAAAGATATAAACAATAACTTTTTCATACATATCAACCATAAAAATCAAGTTCAATCATTTTGACAAATTTAATATCATGTTTTGAAGTTATCCAAACTGTTAAAACAAAACAATAATTACAAATTTACATTTTTACCTTTTAACAACACAAAAAGTGCTAAACAAATATAAACAACAACTTTCTTATTTAATGCTTAACTTACTTTTCTTTTTGGTTTCTTGAAAAGTTTTTTAATCCACTTATGTGGCTATATTTCTATTATTTTCTGCTAGCAATCCCAATCTTTTCTCTTTCTTATCATAAAAATAATCACGTATATAACAAAAATACAAATATTACCAATTAAAAACATATAACACATTTATTATTAAAATAATATTAGAAGTTATAAATCAGTATCTTTGTTTTCCTTGAGAATCAGAATCTAACCAACTGTTCATATTGCCACCTAATCACATCACAAGATAGATTATCCATTGTGACCTCTACAATATTATTTCGATCAAAATATTTTTTCTTCAAATTATGCTTATAGTCTTTCAATTTCTTTCCCAATGACTTAAGCACAAATGAAATAGATATTTCAAGTAAAAATCTTGACTGTCACAATACAAAAAAAAAGTTACAATTGATAGACCAACTTTAAAAGAATTAATATTTTTAATAGATAATTAATTATACTAATACTTTAACAAAGTTTAAAGTTTCAGTCTTAACTTCTACTGAAACTTTATGCCATGTTTCGTAATGAATAGGCAATTTCATGCCATTATGGGCTATCATTCCTAAAAATCTAACAAGCGGTTAACACTCTTCACCAATTAGTTGCCTATTAGAGTTTGCAAACACTATAATACACTCGTTCAGAGGTGGTGTCCACAATTCCTTCAAAGTTATCCAACTTTTGGTCTTTCGTTGACTATTGTTATCAACTGTAAAAAATAAAAAATTAATTAGTAAATTACCAATACTTTAATGATTATAATCGAACTCTAAATATGAGGTTTATGATATCTGCATTCAAATTAAAAGCAGAATCATTGGTGAAATACTATCCAAACTTGGACATTTTGTATTGTCAAATTTAGTATCAGTTAAAGGGTTAAAAATGTTTGAGTTATAGCTAGTAATAGGCACATTCCCCTTCAAAAGATCCAATCTACAGCGAAGATCAACAGGTGCCACAGACAATTTTGAACTAATATATCTGATATATACTCCCCTCACTCTATTCTTGGTATTATAACTTGTTGCATTATAAAAAAGATTAGTTAAAAGTTGAAAAGTTAAAACTTCGTAAATATAACCAGCTATATATAAAGAACATATATAGATATTAAAAAGTTAAAAAATCATAACCAATGATATATAAAGAACAAATCAATTTAATTAATTAAAAGATAATATATGATTAACAACATAATAAATATACAAAAGCGAATGCCACATAAATTACATAAAATCATTTGTTACATTATGTTTTAAACATTTTAATTACAAAATATAAATGATCCACTATGGTTCATAAATGTCTCTATCAACATCTTCGCAAACTCATTGAACAAAGGTACTAGAGATATTTCTATCCAAGTTTTGGTCAACAAAAAGAAAATATTCAGTTTCATGTTCAACATCATTTGTGGTATCTAACCCCATGTCAAATAGTCCCTAGGTATGTTATAAAGAACAACAAACCAACCCAATTCTTTGAGGTCTTTAAAATAAAAAACTTATTTGACTGAAGAGGAAAAAATATAAAGTTCATCGATAAGTTGTTGTTCAGTTTAAATTAATCAAGGAAAATTTATGATAATAAATCCAAATTGATCTTTCTTAATACCTTACACTATTCACATTAACCCAATCACACCAAAATAAGACAACCTTCCACTTACTATAATCCAACTCAATGATGTCATTAATCATGTCATAATAGTCAACATTTCTCTCTAAAGGGTTTGTGTCCTTAGCACTGGCATAGTTATCAGTTGACGAAGTAACAACTCTTGAATTTTGTTTTTTTTCTAACTCTCTCACAGGATTTAGTGTAAAATCTAAATCAATTGATAATGAACCCTTTGTATCGTTTCATAATCCTTTTTGGACTTTGTAAAAGACATTTCACCTATTCACTAACAAGCCTTTCACTCAAAACCTATAAAAGTGAAATAAAATATATGTTATTAATTTTATTTACACCTTAAGCAATTTATGTGCAATTCTCAAAATGGGAAGTATGGCATTACTTATAGTTTTTCCTAACTATTCACGAAAATTTTTTGTGAATAACTTATCAAGCTCTAGAGGGTTGATCATTGATAATGTGCATGAGCTCTCAAATTGTTTCTATACTCACTACATGCAACTAAATAAAGTATTAACAATAAGAAGCAAAGCCTACAAATTATGCTTAATAGAATGAATGATTTCTTCGCATGAATAACTTACATGCGAAATGATTCAATTAAGTTATGATGAAAAAAATATATCAATGTGCTTGCACCTAAGATTTATCATCTAACTCCACCACTTCGACTTTGCCTATTGATTGTCCAAAACTTTCAAAAAGATAAGTGTAGGCAAAGTTAGTATACTCATACCAAAATTTTTCGATGGTCTATTAAATGTCATTTTAATATCTTTCAAATATCGAGAATAAAATGTCATACACTTCTCTGCTAAATATCTTTTAGCAATACAACCTTTCGGATAGCATTTATTACGCTAATAAGATTTTAACCTCCCTAAAAACTTAAAGCATAAAACATTTGTCATATACCTTTTTAATTAGAATGGTATCATAAACACTAACAACTTATTAACAAATAATACCTTTCGATATGATACATCTATCGGTAATAAATTGGTCCACTGACTTTTGCTTCATATGAAAGATGGATAACTAAATGCATTATAATAATGAAGAAGTTTGGAGGGCAAATCTTCTTTAAATAGCATAAACTAATAATGGCTCGATCTTGAAGTTTGTCATGCTCTTTCACATTAAAAACTTTCCCACAAAAAGCTTTAAATATGTTAATTTCATTACAACTAAAGCGACTTGCTTTGACATTATGAACGTAAAGCAAAGGGAAGTAACTTTTACATTGATATGTGGTAATCATGTGATTTTAATGAAAAGAAATTTGTTTTTTCAAATTCACATATCTCGATATATTTGACGTATAGCCATCCGAGACTTCCATATTTTTGAACACCTTGCAAAACACATCTTTCTCACATTTAGACATCCTAAAACAAGCAAGAGGCAAGTGATATTTGTCATTAGAAAGCAGTTTTGGATGAAGGTCAAGGTGAATCCCCATGTCAATTAGGTTAAGTTGACTCTTTAAGTCATCATTTGATCTTTCATTCACATTAAGAATACTTTCAATAAAATTTTCACAAATATTATTCTCTATATGCATCACATCAAGGTTATAACGTAATAAATTATATTCTCAATAAGGCAAGTAAAAAATGATACTTTTTTTTCACAACTCAAATTCATTTGGGTCTTTTTCTTTATGTTTTTTCTCATCACTTTGAACATCAACATCACCAACTTGAGTATCAACATCACTAATTTGAAGAATAGGAGATAGAAAACCTTTAAAGATCTCCCTCACTCTTTTCTTTGATTAAGTCATTTTTTCATAAATGAAATTGATATCTTTTAACTTTGATAAGATATCAGATCTAATAATTGGTAATGACACTATCCTCAACTTTTCAATTCCATCGAAGAGATGTTTTTGAAATCTAAATCAATGATTATCATCTAACCATTTACGATGTCTTATATAACTGAATTTTCTGCCATTATGTAATCATTTCGAACATGTTTGGATAACACAATATGTACAAGCATAACGACCTTTGGTGGTCCAACTAGATAAATTTACATAAACTAAAAAATCGTTGATAGCTCATAATAAAGCAACATACATTTTAAAGTTCTCTTTTTTTAAAGCATCATAAGTCATAACTCTTTCTAATAATTGCTTTAACTCTTTAATCAAATATTACAAGTAGATGTCTATATCATTTCTAGGACCTTTCTCCCTAAGCATTATCATAGACAAGGTAGATGACTGTTAACTTCATGGCAATCCATAGTGGCAAATTGTAAGAAATCAATACAATTGGCTAAGTATTATAAAAAGTACTCATCATTTTAAACGGATTGAATCTATTAAATGTTGGTCTAAGCATAACATTTCGAGGATCAAAAGCAAAATTTGAAAACCTATAGTAAAATAATTTTCATGCCAAATAATCAATAGGATGCTTCAATAATCCATCATCCATCTGCTCATCATGATGCCACCTTATAGAATTCATAGTTTTGGAAGACATGAAAAGTCGTTGAAGTCTTGGTATTAATAAAAAATACCGTAAAACCTTTACAGGCTTCTTTTTGACATGGACTTCATTATCATCTTTATTCAACCTTTTTTTTAAGATTTGTGTCCAACCAAAGAGAATTACCACACACATGACAAGATTGTTGATTTTTTCTATTCCCCTAATGTAACATGTAATCATTAAGACAACTATAAATTTTTTCATATCCAAGACCTAATTCCTTGATTACTTTCTTTGAATCTTTACAAGATTTAAGGATTTTTGCAAAAGAAAATATTTCTTTCATAAACTTCAATAATAAAGTCAAAAAGTTTGCTATCCATCCACACAAGCATTTCAAATGAAAAATACGCACATAGAAAAACAACATTGAATGCTTAAATCCCTCGTAAAGTTCTTCATTCATATTCTCAAGCAACCTATAAAACTTTGATACTTCTTCACTAGGTTATTGGTCACCTACACCTATCGTATGTTCACTAAAATCATTCATTTCAACATTGAGACTTATTAAATCCATCATTTCAGGGAGAGAGATTATGAAAATGTTAGTTATGTATATTGAAAGCATCCCACAATATACCTTTCATGTCATCTTGTCTAATAGGATCATGTTGGTGTTGGGGAGCCCTTGAAGTTGAAGAAACTCTAGTCGATGACCTTGATAGTATAAACTCTCTATGAAAATACCAATAAATATATCTCGAAATAAATTCAATACAAATTAAAATGTTCCAAAGCAATCTCATGGATTTACAAATCAATATTAGCAAACCTCAAACATGGGTATAATATCATATCATCTTTACTTACATTATCAAATGCAAAATTAAAAAAAATTTTCATCTCGGTACTTTTGACTTAATCTTGACTATTACATCCAACTCTTATCCATTTAATACTTGCTACATTAGTAAACCAAAATTATATAATTAATTATATGAAAACGAACTTTAACACATTTAATTAGACTAAATATTACACTTAAATTAGAAACAAACTTAGATCTCCTAATAAGTTAATTAATTAATCAAAGGTGTTTATTTGTTGAAAAGAGAAATACCTTCACAAATTCAAAACACTAATTGGCAAAGACACGATTGATAGAAATGGAGCAATTGCTGATGAGCAAACCTTAATCTCAAATTGAAAATAAACAAAAAAAGAAACATATTAGTGTTTTTACAAATTAATATACAAAATAAGCAAAAAATTGAAAAGAAATAGTCAAACAAAAGAAAAAAAACATTCGGCAAAAAAGCATTTGGCAAATAGCTGTTTAAAACACCTTTATCTTTATCATCCTTAACAATAGGGTGAAATGAACCACCTTAACAATATCTTTGAGCCATAGTTGAATTTTGTTTGACTTCTTAGACTGATTGAAAGAGCTAATAGTTAAATTATTAAAGAAGTTACAACATTAAGTTTTTAAATATTTGATTATATATACTTAGTAAGGTTGTGTTTAAAGCATTAACCTTACAAAATGAGAATGCTAAGATTTTTATTCTCTTTTTGGTACATAAAAATGCTAAGATTTTATTAGTATCTAAGTCAAACATTGATGCTTGATATATATATATATATATTTGATATAGTAACACAATTTTTAGTATGATATAAAAAGAGTGAAAGACAAAGAACATTGTTCCTTATAATGATCTACACTTTACAAACCAATGATCGTGATTTATTTATACATACCAAATAAAGAAATTATATATTTCAAGAGTTAGCTCTTATCCATTTAGTACTTGCTATATTATAATACTAAACTGATGTCATTAATTATATGAAATGGAACTCTAACATAGTTATTAAACTATTGATATAATAACTATATATAATTAACATATGTAAAATTACGTGCATATATAGAAGTGAATTTAAAGCATCACAATTCTAATTACACATCAATTAAACTCAAGTCATTATTTTAGCAATACATTGTATATTATTACGTCCATCTATAAAACATGCTTGAACAATATAAAGAAAGATAGCCATACAAGTAATAAGGATTACCAAATAATAGTTTTGCTCTAGTAAAATTTTGCTACTATAAATCATGAGTTAATCCAAAATTTCAAACTGAAAACTGACAAAAAAAAAATCGTAGTTAGTATTGTTACAAATGAATATTAGAAAAATGAGAAAAAATTAAAAATAGACAAAACCTTGTTTTCCCACAAAACCTAAATCTAATGCAATTATTTTAATGACGTACTATCCATTAAAATTTATTATAAAATTTTTAATTTTCTCATTTTTTAAACATAATCTTAAAAAATAAAAACCAATTCATGGAATCTAATTCTATTATGTATGAATTGAGATGAACATCACCTCTCAAAAGTTAGGCATCAACCTTTACTTGTGCATTAAAATATTGCCGACCTGACATTCAAAGTTATTATTTTTGTTTAAAAAATAATTGTAGCTGAAAATAAAAAAATTATCAATATTAAATTTTAAATTTTAAATATATTAAATGTCATTTAAAAATATTGGCGCGAAATCAACTTAAACTTCATATTCTTGCAATTTTTTTAACTTATAGCAAGTAATGATTAATTTCTTTTTTGTTACGAAAACAAGCCCATTTATGGGTTTTGTTTGGGTGTAGCTGACAAATTGGGCAGGAGGCTGAAGAAAAATATTCAAATATCCTTGGACCAATTTTTAGTCTTTTCGCCCAACAGTCATTCTCGGGCTGGCTTTTTAAGCTTGTCAAAATGGTGGCCTTTTTTCTTGGCTCAAGTAAGAACTGAAACCATGGTCTTCCGGCGTATGCATTGACAATCACAGCCTACCCATGGTCTCACTTACAGTTTTGGGATTCTTCATAACAGGTTTTTACTTCTACCAAAAGCAGGAGGATAGGCGGCAATGGAGTAAATAACTTATTCTAGGAATGCTCAATTATAATTAAATCTCTTATTGTTTCAGGTGGTAAAGTAGGTCACCGCAAAACAAGATCATCAAACTGGGTACCCCTTTAATTTGGCATAAAGCATTATTTGCTTCGAAGTATCTATCTATATTTACCCTGCAAGTTTCTGGTCTTTCAATTCGGATGGAATTATTGATCTGATCCATAACCAATAAGGAGAAGCTCTTCGAGTTCTTTTTGACCTAGTCCTTTTCTCCTTCAAAGGCAGGTGCAGAACTGATAAGAAACATTTTTTATTCTATATAAGAGACCAGATTTCTCAATTTAATTTTATATGTTAAACCATGTATACACATCAGTGAAATACCAGCTAGCACAAGCCTACATACACTAACTAAAAGAAGAAAAAAGTTAGAGAGATCGTGAGTGATTTTAAATCTTCACATATATAGTGATTTTAAATCAAAGTGAATCAACAGCTGGAATAACTGTGCAACATCATCCAAATCAAAACAAATTTAACAACTGAAAAGTACTTTTAGTAGTATTAATCTCTCCATATTTGTTAGCTTAAGAAAAACCAAAACCATAAGCTGCGGACGGTCATGCTTTATAACTTAGTTATAGCAGTTAAGTTTAAGTTTAAGATTTTTAGGATTAACATAGAATGAACCAAAGTATGACCAATTACTGGTTATGGCCTTTTTTGGTCCCTTCCCTAATGTTCATATGGTTGTGTAAATGATACCAAAATATGGTTCTTTTATCCATTTAGGTGAAGCAAGTGTTAAGCTGCTACATATGTTTTTGTTTGGTATTCTGGTAGTTAAGCATTAGACATTGGAAACTCTTTATTATAGAGTTGTTTTGCGTTAATATTTGCAATGCAAACACATCAAGATACATACTATGAAACATAACTAGAGCTGCTACCTAAAAGAAATGTGATGTGTGAAGGCTTTTCATAGATAAAAGATGAGCACCAGCACTATGTACACATTATCTTGTTCAACCTACATTAGTATTCACTAACGTAATATTGATGCCATCAAAAAAGAAACGGAATAATAAACACCTACAGCCACCTAATGCAGAAAACAAGAAAAACCCTATTATTTCGGAAGCCTTGGTCTGTTTATATTAAGCTTCGCTGCTAATCTGTAACAATCCTATGAAGCTTATATCAAGTTTTCGAATGCAGAAAAAAATAGACAATGTCAAGAATTTTCTTTAGGAGTGCTTTTTCCGCCATCCTTAACTTCCTCAAATCCTCAAATGATTCAGACATTCTTTTACAATTGAAGGACTATTTTTCCCCTGAAGTAATCTTTGTATCCACAAATAACCCATCCAATCAGTTTGAAAAAAAAAAAAAAAAAGAAAAAAAAAACCAGGCCATCATATATTCCCAAATCTTGCATTTATTTGCTATCTTAAAGAAAAGATTATGGGGGAGATAAAGATATATGCACGACTCAAAGCTACAGATCTTTGATCAAGAAAAGAAAATTGAAATCAAATGCTTTCCGCGACTCAAAGCTTACCTGTACCAGAAAATTCAAACCACCAGAAGCTTTAACAATGGCCTTGCTTCTTGAAATTTTGAGCTTCAAAAGCTTCACAAATAGTGGGCTGACAAAAAAGGAATAAATGGAGTTAAAAAAAAAGTAAAATGAATGGAAATTTAAAATGTATGAAATAGAACTTATCAATGGAGCTTGAATGGCGACAAAAACATAAGAAATGAGCTTGAACAGAAGCAAAAAAGCTTACTTGACCTTTGCAGCAACAGAAGAAAAAGAGAGGAAACTTACCGAAAATGAACTGAAAATTTACGAAGAAATGTACAGAAATGGAAGACAGGTGCGAGAGGAAGGAAAAGTTGAAATAGCATAAAGGGAATCTGGTGAAATTTAGGGTTAGCACATTATTTTTGTTCCCTTTTGCGGCGTTTTAAAGAAAACGTCACTATACAAGAATAAAAAAAATTATTTAGTGACATTTATCCTATAAACGCCGTAAAATGTATAAAAATAAGACATATAATAGTGTTTCTTTATGAAAATACCACTAAAATATTTTTTTTAATGAGTTATATTTTATATTTAATAAATTGTTATAATTTTATTATGGCATTTAAGTCAATAAATGCTGTTAAAATATGTTTTTAGTGTCATTTTTAAACATAAAAGCCACTATATAAGAATTTAGTGGTATTTTATAAAAAAAAGTCACAAACTTTATAAAAATACGAAAGCTTGTGATGTTTATTAGTAAAATGCCACTTTAAAATTGCCACTTAATGATCATTTTCTTGTAGTGAAATTATGTTAATTGAAAGAAGATAGATTATAAATCTATCATTATGAAAATTAATAAGGTTGAAATGGAATTTGGATAAAATAACTACCAAATTTACAAGTGATTGATTATTTATCTTAAGTGATGAAATCATTTTAAATGGTGAAGATCAAATTGTGATTTACAAAGAACAAAATATTGTTATGAGAAATAATCTAGTAAGGCGTTATTATACATAAAATATGAGCTTAGAGATAATGTCTCATGACATCAAGGACTTACTTTGGTTTTAAAAAGTTTCTTGAAAAATATACTTTTATTAAAAGAGCCAAAGAACTAATCACTTGTATAATAATAATAAAATATTGCCATAAGAGAAATAATCATCTGTTGTAAGGAAAGTAAGAAACTTTCTATTAATGGATCCACAAAATAAACCTTGATTGGTGAAAAATACTATAAGAGGTATGAGATTGCTACTGGTTACTAAAAGATAATCTTGATTGTTTCCTACTCTATCTTAGTGTTGTTACTTAGGAAATTGAATCTTTCAAAGTAAAGGTAATTTTTTCATGGGAAAAACATTATGTATGAGAGAAACATTTTTAATCTTGAATTACCTTAGGAATTCTTATATAAGATATATGGAATTCCCAATGTATCACTTTTGAAATAGTGGGGATAAATTTTAAAAGTTATTCCATTTAAAAGTCCTATATCTAGATGCATTGATAATCCATAACAATATGGTTAGACATAAGTCCAAAATAAACTTATTGCTCATTTGAGAAGAGTGTAAGTAAAAAAGGAGGTTACGAAACAAGCAAGTTTTCCAATGCAAGTGGAGAAGTGAGAGGTCACTTTTTATGGATTTTCATTTTATCCTAATGTACTTGCTAACATAGGATGTAGTGAAAGCCCATGTATTGAATTGAGCTACCCTTGCAGGAACACAAGAACCAGTATAAGGTGCGAATATATTTTCTT